ACATGACCTCTGGAAAAACCATAGCCTTGACTAGACAGACCTTTGTTGACAAAGTAATGCCTCTGCTTTTTAATATGCTATCTAGGTTGTCCATAACTTTCCTTCCAAGGAGTAAGCGCCTTTTAATTTCATGGCTGCAAACACCATCTGCAGTGGTTTTGGAGCCCAAAAAAATAAAGCCAGCCACTGTTTCCACTGTTTCCCCATATATTTCCCATGTAGTGATGGGATCCGATGCCATGATCTTAGTTTTCTGAATGTTGAGCTTTAAGCCAACATTTTCACTCTCCTCTTTCACTTTCATCAGGAGGCTCTTTAGTTCTTCTTCACTTTCTGCCATAAGGGTGGTGTCACCTGCTTATCTGAGGTTATTGATATTTCTCCTGGCAATCTTGATTCCAGCTTGTGCTTCTTCCAGCCCAGCGTTTTTCATGATGTACTCTGCACATCAGTTAAATAAGCAGGGTGACAATATACAGCCTTGACGTACTCCTTTTCCTATTTGGAACCAGTCTGTTGTTCCATGTCCAGTTCTAACTGTTGCTTCCTGACCTGCATACAGGTTTCTCAAGAGGCAGGTCAGGTGGTCTGGTATTCCCATCTTTTTCAGAATTTTCCACAGTTTATTGTGATCCACAGAGTCAAAGGCTTTGGCATAGTCAATAAAGCAGAAATAGATGTTTTTCTGGAACTCTTGCTTTTTCAAATACCCAGCAGATGTTGGCAATTTGATCTCTGATTCATCTGTCTTTTCTAAAGCCAGCTTGAACATCTGAAATTTCACGGTTCACATATTGCAGAAACCTGGTTTGGAGGATTTTAAGCATAACTTTACTATCGTGTGAGATGAGTGCAATTGTTCGGTAGTTTGAGCATTCTTTGGGATTGGAATTAAAACTACCTTTTCAGTCCTGTGGCCATGGCTGAGCTTTCCAAATTTGCTGGCTTATTGAGTGCAGCACTTTTATAGCATCATCTTTTAGGATTTGAAATAGCTCAACTGAAATACCATCACCTCCACTAGCTTTGCTCATAGTGATGCTTCCTAAGGCCCACTTGACTTCACATTCCAGGATGTCTGGCTCTAGGTGAGTGATCACACCATCGTGATTATCTGGGTCATGAAGATCTTTTTTGTACAAATCTTCTGTGTATTCTTGCCACCTCTTCTTAATATCTTCTGCTTCTTTTAGGTCCTACCATTTCTCTTCTTTATTGAGCCCATCTTTGCATGAAATGTTCTCTTGATATTTCTAATTTTCTTGAAGAGATCACTAGCCTTTCCCATTCTATTGTTTTCCTCTCTTTGCATTGATCACTGAGAAAGACTTTCTTATCTCTCCTTGCTATTCTTTGGAACTCTGCATTCAAATGGGTGTATCTTTCCTTTTCTCCTTTGCTTTTTGCTTTTTCCTTTTCACAGATATTTGTAAGGTCTCCTCAGACAGGCATTTTGCTTTTTTGCATTTCTTTTTCTTGGGAATGGTCTTGATTCCTGTCTCCTGTACAGTGTCACAAACCTCCATCCATTGTTCATCAGGCACTCTGTCTATCAGATCTAGGTTTAATCAATATTCTGTTGTCTAAGTCATCTCAAGCTGACATAACAAAATTCCATGGACTAGGTGGCTTAAACAGTAGATATTTATTTTCTCATAGTTCTTGAGGGCAGAAGTCCAAGATCAAGGTACTAACATAATTTCTGCTAAGAATATTCTTCCTGCCTAGCAGATGGCAATCTTTTCACTATGTCCTTACGTGGTGAAGAGAATGAGACAATTAAAATGCTCTCTGGTGATGCTTCTTATATGTTCACTAATCTCTTCCATTAGGAGGACCCAGCCCTCATGACTTCATGACCTAATTATCACTCAAAGGGTCTCCCTCCAAGTAACATCACATTGGACGTTAAGACTTCAAGAAAATAATTTGTTGGGGACACAGTTCAGTCCATAGCAACTGTCAATTCTGATTACCTCAGATTCATAACAAGAGTCACATATGTAACTGCCCTTGTCAAGTTAATATTGGTACTTGGTTTGGTATTAAAATTGTCTTCTCAGTACAAATAAATTATCTGAATTCCTTCGTAATGAACTTTTTAGTCACAAAGTCGTGTCTGACTCTTTCGGGACCCCACGATGTGTAGCCCTCCAGGCCCCTCTGTCCATGGGATTTCCCAGGCAAGAACACTGGAGTGAGTTGCCAGTTCCTTTCCCAGGGGATCTTTTGACCCGGGGATCAAACCCACATTTCCTACATTGGCAGGTGCGTTACTTATCACTGAGCCACCTGGGAAGCCCTCATAATGAATGTTTATCTTAATTCTAACTATGCTGTGTTCTAGAATAGAAGCTTTTTCTTCCTTTATTATTTCATAGATATGGTGGGTCTTTATTTTATTTCATTTTTTTTCTATTTATTTTGGCAAACAAAATTAATGTCATTTGTTTATATTTTGAGTGCAACCCAAGCATTGGTCTTGCCTGTTCCAAAGGCCACCTTCTAATCTATGTGGGAAGAGGGATGTTGGTTCCAGGCAAGAGGCCGATGCTTCCACTTCCCTGAATATCATGTCACTTTCAGCTCTATCCTGACCTCTAGGTTCCTGGGAATCCTAGGTCGTAGTCTTCCCTCAATGCAGTGTTTCTACCTAGATTTGGGTTCAGTAGATGCTTGTGTTCTGCTTGCACTGTTAATTCTCTCCATACAACTACTCAAGTCTATGTTGGAATATTAGAATTTAGAGGAAGGTCAAAAAGAAATCAGCAGTGAATTATAATTTAGGAGTCAGAAAAATGACAGTCTCATTCTAAGTATGATAATTCTCAAATCATGAAGTTATCCATCTCATCGATACACATTCATTCCTAACTTTGGATTAACCCTCAATTTACAGAATGTTTTGCTACTTCCCACACCATTCAATTCCTAGAACTCAATACTCAGTAGCAAGTATTCCTAGAGGGTGAGTTACGCAGTCTAGGATGACAGGCTGAGGTAGAAGATGGCAAGAAACAAGCTACAGAAGAATAATCTGGACTTTTAAGTCTTGGCTCTTTCAAAGTCCCTTCCAATTCAAAGTCAATCTTGTTCATTAATTTATGGTTTTATTTTATTTGGGCTCAGATTTTTGTATGTAATTTGATGATTTATTTAAATCATATAAAGTGAATATGCATGGTAGATTTCAAAACCAATAAAAATTTATTACCAGTAGGAGATACAGAGAGGAACTATTAGTCACTCTGGGTCCCGCCTAAAGAATTTTCTGGGCAGTTTTCATCTCATTATGTCCCTAGACTTTTCTTATTTAACATGAAAAGGCTCTATTGCTATATCACCTCCCCCTACCCCCGGGAAATAGCATCTAGTTTTTTCCTACTGTAAGTTAAAGGAAAAGTCTACGTAATATTAAGAAACTTCCCTTCAACAAGCTGTTTGATTGTAGTGAGTGAAAAAATCACCATGGGAACAATGGAGCAGAATATTTGAAAACAGGAATGACCTAGAAAAGTGAGCAATATAGCCACTGCTGGAGTATTTGATGGGTTCTCTTTCTCAGAAGGTATGATTGATGTTTAAGGAAGCCACCTAAATAAACTTCAAGCACTTGCTTCTCCTATAGTAAGTTTTAGAAGACTTTCTGTGTCTTAAGTTATACTAGCTGAAAAACAAAACTAAGGAAATATGGGGTATTTCCTGCTTTGTGCCTTGAGACCTCCTCTCCCTTCAAGCTGCAAATTATAGAGAAGTCTGCTCTTTTCTCTTAGTTTTATACCTCTAAACTACACTGTCAACTTACATTGTATGCTATCACTTACCACAATGAACTACATTCTGCAACATTGGATAAAGATTATAATCATTATAATTATGTATCAGCACAATGCAATAATGAGATAATAACAAGACTTCAGTACCTTCCCTGCATGCTAAACAATTGATTGCAGTCACAGACATGTTGCCTGTTTGGCCCTCCTGGATGGAGTCAGAAGTTTATGCTCCATTACGAGGAGGACTTCCAGCAGGCTGTGGAATATACTTTTATGTATATCTATTGTGAGTTTCCAGAAGTTATTCTTGAAGCTTGAATGATGAATCCACATCATTCTCTGGATTATTCTCTTGTAAAACTCTCTAGGGGCTTCTGATATGCCAGGGCAATGAATTCATTCCAAGACAGCATTTGGGATATCATGAGAGACCTTCTGAATAAAAACAGAATACACCATAATCAACACTACCTGGAGATTTGGAGATTAACTTGTCTAGCCTCATAAGATGTTCACATCAATTTCCCCTGATGTATCAGCCCCATCTATATAAAAGTTATTTATCTGAACCAAGACAGAGATTAAGTCTAGCAGGCTGGAACATTTTTATCCCAAATGAAAGCAAGATGTGATCATGTGTAATAGCCATATCATTAAAAGGGCACAGTACCCATGGTGTTATTATAACCATTTGTTCTAATAGAAGCTCTGTCCTTTTTTTTTTTTCTAAGTTTCTTTGTTGCTTAATTGATGGAAGTTGATTTTTATCAAATATGTGATTGTTTTTATCCAATTTGTGTCATCTGAAAGTTTTTATTTAGAAATTCTAAGACAGTGGTGAAGCGTTCTGGTCTTAATGCATTTATCAGTGTTGGATTATTAATGTTAATTTGAAGATAAATATTACTACGGTTTTCACATCATGTTTCTCTAAATGCTGAAATGTTTGATTTCTGTTGGATTTTTAGTCTATGCCTCCATTTAGAAATAATTCAAGTTACCCCTTCCCTCAAAAGTTTAGAATAGTAAAGTGTTACTGGCTCAGTCATGTCCAACTCTTTGTGACCTCCATCCATGGAATTCTCCAGGGAAAAATACTGGAGCGGGTTGCCATTTCCTTCTCATTACAGTAGTAAAACCATCTGCAAGTCATATTTGAAAGTTTTGCTATTGTACTCATCTGTTTTACTGTTTTTCTTCTTCTTCTTCTTCTTCTTCTTTTAGTGTCAACCAAACCAAGACCCCACAGTGATGAATATTCAAAGAAGATTCCTCCTCCCAAACCAAAACGGAACCCAAACACTCAGCTCAGCACATCTTTTGACGAAACGTATATCAAAAAGCACGGACCCAGGAGGACCTCTCTGCCGCGGGATTCCTCACTCTGCCAGGTCAGCAGCCCCGCGGGGGACCCCGAGGAGGAGGAGCCCGTGTACATTGAGATGGTGGGGAACATTCTCAGAGACTTCCGGAAGGACGATGAGGACCAGAGTGAGGCCGTCTACGAAGAAATGAAATACCCCATTTTCGACGATCTCGGCCAAGACTCAAAATGTGACCTCGACCATCACAGCTGTTCTCCGCAGTGTGCTACCCCCACGGTGCCTGACCTGGACTTGGCCAAACCCTCAGTGCCATGTACTCCGAAGGGTTTGCTCTGTGACATCCCCCCGCCCTTCCCCAACCTGCTGTCTCATAGACCCCCGCTGCTCGTGTTCCCCCCGGCGCCGGTGCAGTGCTCCCCCAACTCGGATGAGTCTCCGCTCACCCCGCTGGAGGTCACCAAGCTTCCTGTGTTGGAGAACGTGTCTTATATGAAACAGCAGGCCGGGGCCTCTCCATCTTCCTTGCCGTCGCATGCCTCTGGCCATGCGAAACTGGAGAAAGATCAGGCTGGAGCCGTGGGGCCGGTTCCGGCCGCCTCCGTGCTCTCCTCGTCCCCTCCCCCGCCCTCCACTCTGTACCGAACGCAGTCTCCCCACGGCTACCCCAAAAGCCACTCCGCCTCCCCGTCGCCTGTCAGCATGGGCAGGTCCCTGACCCCGCTCAGCCTCAAAAGGCCCCCGCCCTACGACGCCGTGCATTCGGGCAGCCTCTCCAGGAGCTCGCCAGCAGTGCCTCACTCCACCCCCAGACCGGTGTCAGACGGCGGCAAGATGGTCAACGCCGCGGTCAACACCTACGGCTCGGCCCCGAGCGGCTCCCGCTCCAGAACCCCCACCAGTCCTTTGGAAGAGTTAACCAGCCTCTTTACCTCGGGGCGCAGCCTGCTGAGAAAGTCGTCCAGCGGCCGCCGCTCTAAAGAACCCGCAGAGAGTAAGTGCACAGACGCTGTCCTTCGTGACTTGAGTGCAGGGAAGCCCCTGATGTACAGATAAGGCCCGTGGTATGTGAGCTTGGGGGAGCTTCCCAGGTGGCTCAGTGGGAAAGAATCCGACTGCAAATGCAGGAGACTCGGGTTCGATCCCTGGGTCGGGAAGATCCCCTGGAGAAGGAAATAGCAACCCACTCCAGTATTCATGCCTGGGAAAGCCCGTGGACAGAGGATCCTGGCAGGCTACAGTCCACGGGGTCGCAGAGGACAGGACTTAGCGACACAGCAACAAAGTGAGCTTTGGTCGTTTTAGTTGAAAGCTCAAGATGCGTGATTTTATTTTCACTATACCAAAGGAAATAGTGCCTTCTTACAGAAGTGAAAGACAGAGGCAGGGCCGTCTGAGTCAGAGAGATGAACATGCGGGTTTTGAGGATGGGGGAGTGGGCTGTGAGCCAAGAAATCAGGAAACCTCTAGAACATTGCCGAGTCCAGGGAACCCATTCTCTCCTAGACCTTCAGAAAGAATGGGAGCCCAGTCTACAGGCTTGATTTTAGTCATGTGAAACACATTTCAGACTTCTCTCTTCTAGAATTTAGAAGTAGTAAATTTGTGTCATTTTTTTAAGCAGCCAAAACAAAAAAGGAACTAGTGTGTTCTGAAAGAACTGAAAGTGACGGTCTGCACAATATAACTTATTAAAAAGAGGAATCAGTTTTAAATTTAAAATGAAGTGTAAAATCTCAATTCTTAAGTGACCCTTGGAAGTCTAACAAAGAAAACATATTAGTATAAAAATTTTTAGGTACATCTTGATTTGGCAGGAAATTATACATTCAAACATGGAATTGGTAAGTTTAAAATTACCTTATATTAAAAATCTGCTTGAGCAAATTTGTATTAGAAAGCCTTTACTGGAAAGAGAGCAATTTGAATAGAATTATTACTTTTTAAAAAAACAACAAATTATTCTCTCCCCATACTCCATGTTGCTACAAACTTACCTTCCTGCTAAACTAGACTAGGCTTGCTGTTTCCCTTTATGGAAGAGCTGACTCATTTGAAAAGACCCTGATGCTGGGAAAGATTGACAGGAGGAGAAGGGGACGACAGAGGATGAGATGGTTGAATGGCATCACCGACTCAATGGACATGGGTTTGGGTGGACTCCAGGAGTTGGTGATGGACAGGGAGGCCTGGTGTGCTGCGGTTCATGGGGTCACAAAGAGTTGAACGCGACTGAGTGACTGAACTGAACTGAATTAGCATCTTATTCCTATGATACTTTTCCTAGATCTATCAACATATAAATTACAGAAAGATTGTTAATGATAAATAGGTGGGGAACATGATATTTACCACTGAATTTCAAAGACTAGGGATTGTCTCTATCTGAATGACTAATCCTTTTGTGATATCCAAATTACTATGTAAAGATATTTTAAAGTCAAAACAGATACCAGTTTTTTCAGTGCTCATTTCATTAAATTACACTGTTTTCCTTTATTTAAAAATGCCTCAGGGCACCTAAGCTAAAAAGTAATCATTTACATCTCAAATGATGCCATCACAGGATTCCTAAAGAATCCACCAGCCAACGCAGAAGACACCACAGACATAGTTTGGATCTCTGGGTTGGGAAGATCCCCTGGAGTAGGAAATGGCAACCGGCTCCACTGTTCTCACCTGGAAAATTCGTTGGGTAGAGGAGTCTGGCAGGCTACAGTTCATGGGGTCAAGACTGAGTGAGCACATAGGCATTCATGCAGTTACACTGAGACACTTCTTTAAAGGCAAAGAATTCTTAAGCATGTCTGATGAAGATGGTGATGAAATTCCACAGATAATTAATATTCATTAGTGGTTATAAGCAACTTATCTTTTTCCTCTTTAATCAGAAAGATTTATGAAAACATTAACTTCTTACTACCAGACACATTCACAACTGAGCGTTGTCTCTGCTTTGGCCCAGCCTCTTCATTCTTTCTGGAACTATTTCTCTGCTCTTCCCAGTAGCATTTTGGAGAGCTGCTGACCTGTGGGGCTCATCTTCTGCTGTCTTGTCTTTTTGTCATGTCTTCAACTCTGGATGATTGATTTGGTTTAAACATAGATCTAGTAAGCTTTTTGGAAAAAGGTGAAAAAAACTATGGAGATGATTTTACTCTCAAAGTACATACTAGTTAGTATGAAATTAGTAGAAGTTTAATCCTAGAATTGGTGAAATTAGCCAGTGTTCTCTCTACCTACCAGTTTCTTTGGAGGTTTCTTAACAGCTCCAGCTGGCAGTTATACCAATTAGCTAGAAAAAGTATATGTAAAAAAAGTGATTAACTAATGAAGTTATTTCAAGAAAAATCCATCTGTTACAATCAGACTATGTGCTATATGTCACAGACTTTCCTATTCAACTCCAAAATGAGCTTTGTATGCTTCTAAAACCAAGCTTGTACATGGAAAAGTGATCTAGGCTCTTTATAGCTTTTTAGAGATCTGAGGATTAAATTCCTTTCCATATGTTATTAACTGTGCATCAGCTCTTCAGAGAAAGGTCATGCTCTGAGTTATATCAATTGCAATGTTTTACTTTATCATATGGAAGGGAGGAAAAATGCATGTAGTATTTCTTTCTTTCTTTTTTTTTTTTTTTTAGTATTTCTAATGAGTAATCCAATGCCTTTTTTTTTTTTTTTTTGACTCAGGAAGAAAATAGAAAAACACTGTCTGATGTTAACACAATCACTGGGGCTCTCAGAACCATCCTGTGATTCAAAATATAGATCCAAAAGTGTTGATAGCTGAGCGTTTACCTACAGCTTTTGCTGCCCTCAGTGATACAACTATCCCCTTCCCTCTTGAAAGATAGGATTTGCAAATACTTGCCCATAACATGGGGAGAGTATAAGTGATATGAAGTAGTATGCCATTCATGACCCCTGAGTCACATTATTATTGTTTTTTTTTGAATTTCAGAAGTAAAAGTAAGACTTGTATCTCTGTGCTCCATACCCCACTAAGTTTCACTAGAAATATTCATTTTGCTAATATTAAATTCAAAGCAAATATAATCTTTTGGCTTTAAAAATCTATGTCCAATAAAATTTATCCCTTCAGCTCTTATTTTTAATACTCTCTAAAAGATATACCTAATTTAATAATTTCATATCTTAAAGGCTTGTAATTATTGATGGGGATCGGGAAATAGGAAAGAGGTAAAATAAGACAGTAGTGTTAGACTATGAATCAATTTCATTTTGCTTCACGGTTTTCTAAATACAGCCTTCACATTAATTGAAGCATGTTTTTCTAGGAAACTTTTTTTTTTAACTCAGAAGCATGCTTTTCCTAGTTGATCTGGCATTATTTTGTTGTTTAACTTTGCATGAGCATAGTATTGATACATTTATGTAAACTGGTTCTTATTAGTATTTTTAAAATTTGTGTAGTGCTATGTGCTTAGTCGCTCAGCTGTTCCAACTCTTTGTGACCCCATGGACTGCAGACTGCCAGGCTCCTCTGTCCATGGGAATTCTCCAGGCAAGAATACTGGAGTGGATTGTCATGCCCTTCTCCAGGGGATCTTCCCAACCCAGGGGTTTAACTCATGTCTCCCACACTGCGGACAGATTCTTTACCATCTGAGCCACTATATATCACCCATATAGTGGGATAAAGAAGATAGCAAACATGTTAGAAGTGATTAACTTGTATTTTATTATTGCACATTTCTTTGTCTATATGAGAAGTAGGTGAAGTATTGCATTGGCCAAAAATTTGAACAAACTTTTGGTCAGCCCAATACAAATATGTTTTGTGGTGAATTTTCTACTTATCATTTTTGTCTTCCTTTTACACGTTCTTTTTTATATATCCTTTGACTGGAATCTAAAATACTTAGGTCATGAATAGGCCATTTTGTTTTAATAAATCAAAAGCCCTGAATCATAGAAACTATTAGCTAGAATCAAGTGAGAAAAAAAGAAAACTCTTTTATCCCCTCAAACAAATCTTTTAAAAATAAAGTTCAGCCTATATAAATGCATGAATGTATGTTCCTGTGAAAATGTATGAGGCATAATGAAGGATATAATTAAATTTATGATGTACTTGAGGGACAAAATGCAATAGAAAAGTTAAAAGTGGAAAAGTGTAAAGAGGAACCTTAAAGAAAAAAATAGAAACATGAAACAGCAAAGAGAAGCAATAAATTAAAAATACTGAGGCACCAAGAAACATACACAAAAAATGCATACATCAAGTCAGGTGGTCATATAAACAAATATAGGTGCCAACCAATGAAGCACATACAAAGGTACACAGAAGACCAGAGAAGAAACACTGAGACACAGTAGAGTCAACGAAAGATCAAAGAAAAGGAAAGATGCAAGCTCATTCTTCTGGTATTGTTGCATGAGTGCCAAGTTGCTGCAGTCGTGTTCAACTCTTTGTGACCTTACAGACCTTAGCCCGTCAGGCTCCTCTGTCCATAGGATTCTCTAGGCAAGAATACTGGCCTGGGTTGCCATCCCCTCCTCCAGGGAATCTTCCCGACAGAGGGATCAAACCCACGTCCCTCATGTCTCCTGCGTTTGCAAGCGGGTTCTTTACCACTGCCACCACTGGGGAGGCCTATGAAAGCGAAAGTCGCTCAGTCATGTTCGACACTTTGCGATCTTATGGAGTATATAGTCCATGGAATTCTCCAGGCTGGAATACTGGAGTGGGTAGCCTTTCCCTTCTCCACGCAATCTTCCCAACCCAAGGATCGCACTCAGGTCTCCCGCATTGCAAGCAGATTCTTTACCAGCTAAGCCATAAAGGAAGCCCAAGAATATTGGAGTAGGTAGCCTATCCCTTCTCCAGTGGATCTTCCCAAGCCAGGAATCAAACCGGGGAATCAATCCAATATCAATCAACTTATATATATATTTTTTTTCCCCAATCCTTTAATAAGACTCCCTTTTAAGACTTTTGGATGTTATGTTACATATTTACAATTAT